CCGTCCGGAGCCCGGGCCCCGCAATGTGTGCCAGCCAGCCGCGCCTCTCTAGGCTCTCCAGGGACAAGTTCGAAGGGCAAAGTGCTTTCGCTTTGCCTGCTGCTGTTCAGACGTACCTGGCGTCGCGGCGGCTTTACGGACTCATGTTCCTCGAGGGCATGATGTCCTCTGTCTGTAGGGGGTGACTTGCAGGGCTTGGGGCTGTTGTTTGGTGGTCTCCCCTGCTCACCACTCTGACTCTTCTTTCAGGGCATAGTGAAACTAGAGCACCCTCGCATTCACGTGGATTTCCCGGTGATCATCTGCGAGGTGTGAGTCGCCAGACTTTGCTGCCTGTGGGTGGGAGGCCCTGCCCCACCACCCCCAGCCTCACCAGGAGGCTGCGTGTCGTGTTCCCACCCGAGGAGGACTCTGGGCGCGCCACCTGGGGAGGACTCTGGGTGCGGCGGGGACGGCGGCTCTCCCCTCGCCCAGAGGTGAGGCGGGCCGGAGCGGGCCGGGCTGGGCTTGGCTAGCCCTCCTCGCAGGAGAGGAGATGGGTGACCTTGTGCAAGGACTGCTTACAAACATCCTCGCTTGAGTCAGAAGACTAAAATACCTTTTGTAGCCTCTAGCCGACGTTTGATGGGTAACTGGAACTGCAAACGAGCTGCTGTGTGCGAGCTGTTAAAGGGAGAGCGAGCCTGCACTTCTCACCAGACAAAATCCCCTGCTTCTCAGGTATGCAGCCCAGGGAGAGCCAGGGCAAGGTAACGCGCTGCCCCGGGGCCCCGAGATCCCTTGGGCCCGGTGGTTAGATGGCCAGTGTTGCGGCATGTCGCTTGACACGGGTGTTACGTGATGCTCCCTGGGGCGGGTCTGTTGATGGAGGATGAAGGCTAAGGGGGGACCTGGTCTCGAAGCACATCCAGCTGGCTGCTGCGCTCCTCTTGGGAAGGGGATGGAGATCAGATGCCGCTATGTTGGACCTCGGTCTCTTCCTCCTGTGCGTTTCCCTGCTTATGCTGGCTCTGGGGAGGCTGGCTGCGCTGCTGCCCGCAGTCCCTCTGCCCACAGGAGATCTCTGCAGTCTGTGGCCGCTGCTGGCGGCAGCGAGGCCCCCAGCGCTGCAGCGGACTCGCCTCCCCCGTTAGCAAGCTGGCTCCTGCCGAGCGCAGTCCCTCACCCGCTGCGGGGCCAGGCTGCTGGGCAAGGCGTCTCCTCCTAACGTCCTCACTCCCCGCTCCTGTCTTGAACGTACCTCCCGGTGGGGTGGGCCTTGACAGAGCCGAGCAGGAAGGAAATCATTTCTTCCCTCCCCATCCCCCGAAAACAATCGATCGGTGTGCCTGCCCCAGCTTGGAAATCTCCCTGGCGATGTGAACTAGGGTTCCTCCCGCATCCCAGCTGGCGGCAGGAGGAGAAACGTGATGCACTTTAAAGGGAGGCTTTCTGCTCTGTCTCAGAAGGTCCTGCTCTTTTCTCCTCTTTCCTCCCATTTGAGAAGGTCAAGGTCACCTTGGCAGCACCGAAAAACCTCTCACCCCTGCGCGCAGGCCCCGAGCCAGCTGCTGCAGGGCCGGGGAAGGGCCTGACCTGTACCGCCCCTCGCCAGCACTAGGAGCCACTGCCTCCCTGCTCGGCTGTCCCGGCCCCGGCGGGCAGAGGAGGACGGGCTGCGGGGCAGCGGGCGCAGCTTTAAACTGGGTCAGAGCCTGCTCCCCACAGCAGCCGGCTCGGCTTTCCTCCTCTTTCGTTCCAGAACTTATTTACTTTCTAAGCACTTCAGATGTTCGCTACCTCGATTTTTAATTTAAGCCGCTGGCACTTGGCTGCCAGCCCTGTCGGCGTCTACGTTGGATGTATCCATCCCCGCGCCCTCTGAGAGCCGCCCGGGCGCGGGGCCACGTTCCCGGCTTTGGGGAGATAACAGCGGCGTGGCTGTTGCCGTCTTCCTGTCCCCACCTCTTCCCTCCGCGTCCCCCCCACCCGCTGTTCCCGTCGACAGGAGCGAGCACGGAGGGTGAAGCACGGAGGGTGAAGCGGATGTGCTGGCTGCCGCCGGGCAGGGAGGCGGGCAGGGCTGGGCAGGACTGGGCAGGGCTCCGGCAGGGAGCTCGTCTACACTGTGATGCTGGGCGCTTCTTTCGACATCTTTTGTTCTCCTGCTTGCTTGAAAGAGTCTTGTCTTAAAACAATCCCCCACTGAAGTGTTTCTTACTCACACCGCCTGCTCTCGAGTTTGTCCCGGGCCGGATCTCCCTGGGAAGGGCATCCCTCGGGCCCCGCAGGAGAGCAGGAACTGCTGTCCCCAGGAAGAGGAGAGAAAGCTGCGGCTGGGCTGCCTGCGCCCCCTCGCCCTGCTGCTGTCTGAGGGCGCGGGAAGCTGCACCGAACCCGCCTTGGGTACGGGGGAAGGCGGCGGAGGAGGAGGAGTGGGGAGGGGGCCGGTGCCGTTTGCCTGCCCCGACGGGGAGCCCCTTGCCTGGCTACCGGCCAAAAATCTGCTGACAAGGCAGGGCCCGAACCCCAGGGGGGGTAGAGACCGAGACGGGCTTAGCAAGGATGCTTTTGTCCTCTCTGGCAGGCTGCTCACCCTTCCCCCAGGGCGTTA